TGGTCACATGCGCTTTACAAAAATTACCTGCCTATCGTACAATTATCAAATGCCTATTGTAAAAAAATAAATTGGATCATTGCCTCTTTACTGTTTCAATTCTTACTGAATTTCACAGACTGACTCATGGCTGCTTTGGAAATGAAATTCGTCTTGACGCTTGCCCTCTTGACTTGCAATTTTGTCGAAAGCACTGTACAAAAGGTCAGATTATGAAATTCATTTGAACTGCAGCATGTTTAAAATTTATATTCAGGAGTCAGGAGCTCTATCAGTTACCTAAATAACTCGTATAACTATGCAATGCGTGAATTTAACTCTGTGGCTGGAATCACAACAAGAATTAGGACCAAAGTTTGGAGCAATAATTGCAATGTACTTTGTATTGTTGTTAATTAGAATTTTTAAGCGTTCATTCCAGTTATCAAAGGGTTTGTTGTGGTTATACTGGCTGAAATTGTTTTAGAGGCTCGTTAAAGAGGCTCCAAAATTATGGACGAATCCGAAAGAAACTATGCCGATTTTTTCCTTAGTTTCTTCGAATATACGCCTGAAACTCCAAATTATGACTGAGTTTAAAATAAAAACCTTTTTCCGAGGGGCCCTTTCTTAGTCTTTGATCGTTAGCTCAGACTCAACGCCGAAATTCGCGAATCTGTGCACGAAGTAACAATTAGCTGTTTATTAGTGTCGAAGGTAATCAGACGATTACTTTGATTTGGTTTTGTTTTTAGTTTATCAAAGGTTTGAGATTGGGCGAGTAGTCTAATTAGTTAGTAATTGGTTTGGTTTTGGTTTTGGTTTTGCGACACTCAGTTGAAAACTGCTCCTAATTATGATATGGCTTGCGTTTGTAGCGGATTGGCTCTTTATAGGACTTTATTCTCCTATTTATAGGGCTTATTCTCACATAATGACCACGGGCCGATTATACGCCCCTGCAAAAACAAAGAAAAAAGCCATAGTAAACAACTTATTAACCTCGAACGTTCGGTCTTTACGGATCGCTCGGTCTATAGGGAAAAGTCGAGGTTTGAGGTTTTCCCATAACGACCTGACTTTCGGTTAATAATAAGGAGTTATTAATACTGAGGAAATGCGCGGTTCATCTAGAGCGGTTTTCCTTTGAGTATCGAAAAGCAAATGGTTTTGCATTACCGGACGCATTACCGCGGTACAGGACTGATTGGCGTAAAAATCTCGCGCCACTTTTTCATCCAATCAGAAGTAAAACCAAAACCAATCGTGACTCTCTCCCGCACGTTTTCCCGCTTTGCGTCAGTTACTTGCATTTGTGATCACTTCGAGTTTTGATTGGTTAACTTGAATGGCTGTGTCCTTTGTGATTGGCTATAATGTTTAATTTGGTAATGTGTAATTTTGTCCGCAGAATATTTTTTTTAATCTTTTCATGTCTGACAGGATGTTTGTGCATCTCCAGGTAATCCTATCACGCTTACTGTGCACGGTAAAGAAGGCATGAAGGTACAAGACCACTCGGCAGTTTCTGTAGTTCCTACGGCGTTTGATTACACTACAGTCACTTGCTAGTTTAATGGCGCTGATTTGAAATATTCTTAGGGCGAGAAGGGCGAGAAAGGAGATTCTGGAACAAAAGGAGATAAAGGAGATCCAGGAACAAATTGTCAATGCAACTTACAGGTAAACAGCTAATGCATCGCTTAAAACCTTTGTTATACCTCCAAACTCAAATACGTTTTCTGATTGGAGGAGAACATGTCACGTGTCGTAGGTCAAAACTCACTAACTCTCTAGGGAAACAACAACTGGAACTTTCGACTCGCTCGTGATCAGGTCGTGCACCTTGAAACCGAGGCAAATTTGTTGTGCCAGCTGCCGTCAGCCGAATAATTTTTTCTCAGTTTTTTCTATTTTTGAGTTGGGAGGTGTAACAAAGCACTTAATGACTGACCCCACAGGAAACAGTGAGTTTTGTTTTCCCTTGACCTTAGTGAGAGCCTCAGAGAAACAAAACTCACTGTTTCCCGCGAGGCCAGTCATTAATTGCTTAGTGTTTTCCGCCTGTGAAAATCATCATCAATTCTGTGTTCTGTATTTTTTTTTACTTAGTTTGATCTAAATAATTTAATCGATAGCTAACATTTAATTTCTTGTCTCTGATTTTATGCTAACACAGGATCCAAACAAACCTTCTGCTCACATTGAAGCTGTCAATAACGGAAACACGAATTATGCCCCCAACAAAGATACTTTAATTATTCTTGTTAATTTATTTTTGACGGAATGTGGTATGGATCTAAAAGTCTGTTGTTAGCTTTAATAGATAATAACAAATAAACTAGATCGTTTTTCATTTAAGTGTCGAAAAGTAATTGGTTTTGCTTTACTACGCTACACCATTGGCTTTAAAAAATCGCGCCACTTTTTCATCCAATCAAAGGTAAAACCAAAACCAATCGTGAATCGTGCGCACACGTTTTCCCGCGCTTTGCGTCAGCTGTATGTAATTGCTTCGAGTCTGTATCTTTTGTGATCTTCTAGAGTGATTACTTTGGCTTTGGTTTTACGACACTCAACTGAAAACCGCTCTATAACAGAATCAAAGTACAGCAAGGTGAACTACCACTGTTGTCTGTGAACGTGTTCATTTAACAACAGGAACAGGGCACCAAACCGATCGAATCGGTAAATTATCTGTTCGAAAATACCTTTAGATTAAAGCGCAAGTTCCTCTAGAATGAATCAAGAGACAAAAATGTTATAGCACGGCCGAAAATTAACCTACAGACTTTTAAACGCACTCTAGATAGCCTAAAACAGCGTTTTAAAGCAACTGTCGTTGGGTGCCTCCCGTTGAAATGACGCCTTGCTATTAAATTTTCTTCTAGTGATAAAGGACTGGTCTGTCAGTACCACAAACAGCCACTTAGCAGGTGGAATGACATACCACGACGGAAAACTGACTGTGCCCACCCCTGGACGGTACTACATCTACACACAACTTTTCTATCAGTCCAGTGGGAGAGTCGATGTTCGTGTAAACAACAATGTCGTTGCTATGATACAACCAATGAGTTCAGGCTATGGTACTCTGTACGCTGGAGGGGTGTTCAACCTCAAGGCTGGTGACGTCATCTCGTTGGAAGTGATATACTTCATCAAAATATACATGGCTACTGTTCACAGCTATTTTGGGGCGTTTTTGATATGAGTTTCATTCATTGAAAGTTCAGTGTCGTGAAACTTAATACACCATATCATCGATAAGTAACAGATACAAAGCCCCGTTTTTTCGCTAGTTCTAGTTACATTACTCTAAAAATAGTCTCAGTTGTTATAAATAGCTAAAATTTATCATTTAATTTAATGATTTAACAGATCAATAAATGAAAGGATGGTCCTTGATGTTTGTGGATTACTGATTTAATGTGGACAACGAGCTGATCAACTAGCGCATGAAAACACTGTAAGAGTAAATGTCTGTAATCAGTTTTCATCTGAAGATGCTCTTCTATTGAAAGAAGTTCTTAAACCCCACATTATGTTCAAAAACTTCCAGTCAGGTTCGCGCAACTTCATATCTGAAATTTCACTTCTTTCCGTATATTCCCGCAATTTTTCTGTCTGCTACGCAGTTACAACAATTTTTAAGAATTAACAAAAACGTATTTTTTGGTACAAGTGCTAACAGTTTGGCAGTGGCATTGTCATTGGTCCAATACTATTTTCTGAGTTCGAGTTTTAAAAGAAACGCTAACACAGTCAGAGGAGAATCCGATAGACAGGATTGGGCACACATTGCACGTCAACTGAACTTGGTGATCTTAAGGTAAAGTATATATTTCTTTACATCTTTGTTTAAAGTCTTCAGACTCGGAGTATGCTATTGACAAAACAAAAACATACATTATGACTGAAAGTAGAATTGCGAAAATCGAAGAGGGACTTCAAACATTTGACTTTGTTTCAAGGTGGTGGCCATCTGCTACATTTGCACTCTGTCTGGGAGGGGTGAAGAGAGGGTCCACGGCAAGTCTGCCATGCACTTCATAAAGCTTCTATGCCTGTACAAGGTGAATTGATCTATAGTTTAATAGTGATAATAATAATAATAATAATAATAATAATAATAATCATGTGTCGATTATACTTTTCATATATTTCTCTGGTGTTATGACGGAATATAGGATGACTTTTCCAATATGGAGATTTTATTGCCGTCATATAACGTTGTAATCAAGAGAGAACAAACGTAGCTTGCAGGAACAAGCTCCAGAGTATTTTACTAAAGACATACTGATAGAGCGCTTTTCAATTGAGCGTCGTAAAACCAAAACCAAACCAATTACTTACCAATTAGACTACTCAGCCAATCTCAAACTGTAGCAAAACCAAAACCAAAACCAAAGCAATTGTCCAATTACTTTCGAAACTCAATTGAAAACAGCTCTATCACCGATCAGGGTGTGTAACAACAACAAAATTCCAGGAAGGGGGCGGGGAACATTTAACGGTACGGTCGGGGGTGTATAAACTTGCGTACATCCCAGGGAAAAAGGAAACATTTGGCTTTCATTTTTATTTGAAAATCCTAACTAAAAGCGAAACAGGAATGTGCAGCTTAGATTGCGCTCAGCAGCTCCCAAAAACACATGGCATATTTGTTCGATAGTAAGTGAAATCACAGTTTAATGGCCGCCATCTTTTTCATTTCAAGTCTGAACATCACGTTGAGTTCAAGTCTGAATTTTACGGTAAATCTTCGAATCTTAAGTTGGAAACTTAAAGGTCACATAAGTCATCATCATGGTTCACTTTATGATTTCGAGAAAGTATGTTTCTTTTACTGTAGAAGAGTGAACCCCAGCGAGGCATCATTTTTTACAGGATAAGACAGCTTTTAGACCGTGTCATCTCTCTAGGTTTTTCTTCAAGGTCTTCCAGGATTGTGTCATTGTTTCGAGCGAAAATTCTCGGTCCTAATGAATGTCTCTTTAAAGAAAACCTCTTGTCCTCGGTCGGAAATACAAACGCTCTTCGCATCTGCACAGGTTTGTACTTTCCTTGAATCAACTTTTCCTTTAATTCAGTTCGAAGAACTTCACCATCTGCAGTTTTCGGAAGCGTGGGTATAAACACCACACCCCCGCGCAGTTTTTTGTGAGGAGCAGCATTTTCGTCCACGTATTGCATGACCTCGATCTCAGTTAAATCTTCTTCGTTTTCTCCGACAATGTACGCCATTGGCAGTTCACCGACCTCGGGGTCTGGGATCCCGATAACTGCGGCATCCTTGATGGCCGGGTGGGCCCTGAGGAGAGATTCGAGTTCTGACGGGGAGACCTGATGATAAAAAGAGAGCTCATTTATGCAAACAATTTAAAAGTGATTGTAAACTTAGTGCAAAGCTGTGCAAATCTTGAAGAATCGGCCGAAATTCTACGACCTTCTTAGCCCCTGGAAAAAATTTATTTCACCGAGCGTAAGTTTAAGCAACAGGGCACCTTCTCCGTGTTTTCCTAGCCTCATCTAAACACGAGGGGGGTTCGGAGAAATCGAGTCAGTTATGCAAACCCGAGACGCAGTCGAGGGTTGTGTTTAGATGAGGCTATGTAAACACGGAAAAAGTACTCTATTGCTTTTATGAATATTTCTCAAAATACGCGCGAATCTAATATAACTCTGATATAAACGACCAATGAGCGCGTGCGCGGTAACTCAGTTGTTTTATAATACTGATCACATAGTTTAATACATACAAGAAATAACCGATGGGTAAATCAACCGTAAAGCGAGATAAGACAGTGTTTTTCCCTTCAGGACATTAATTATGGACATTATGGACTTGGTTACCCTACATAGCCGAGTCATTTGGGACTATTTAGTGACGTCATCCACTAACCTGATGACCTTTGAACTTAATCACATTTTTTAAAATGTCTACAATAAAAAAGTGTTCGTCGTCATCGTAGTAGCCAATATCACCGGTGTGAAGCCAGCCTGAGTGGTCGATCATCTGATCTGATGCGTCCTGGTTGTTCAAGTAACCTGAGAGAAAAAACGGAGCTGCTGGTAAAGATAGCATTCTTGAACTTAAAGATAAACCCATATAAAACCCATTTAAAAGCAATGTTCATGCATGGAACGGGTAATAGAGGTTTTGCATGGCAGCGACAATAGATTCTTTTTCCTATGGGGAAAAAATGTTCTTTGTAATGCAAAACATTTTCATTGCTCCTGCCATGCAACATGGCTGCCGTGCAAAACCTCTGTTGGCTGTTCTCGTGATCAGTACAAGCGTAGTCTGTGTCAAGTGATCCAAACCATTGGAGCTTAAGCTTTTGCCGGTTTCTGAAGCATTAAGCGACTAGAGTACTTCAATTTCCCTCTGAATGGGATGCTTGTCCATTGCTGGATTACCCCCAGCAATAAATTAATTCATCGGTTTGAGGTGGAGAGGCACTGTGCGAGCAAAGCGTCTTGCCCAAGAACACAACGCATTGACCCTGGGCCACTCACCCCACTCCACTCAATCACGTTTTCTAAATCCTTTTATGATAGCCTAATATAGGGTATGAATTGGAATGATTTATGGCGGTTGTGAATTACGCGTTGTACGGCCTACTGCAGGAACACACCTTTCATCACTGTTGGTCCTCTGACCCAGATCTCCCCGCGTGCACCAGCCCCAAGCACCTCTCCAGTAGATACTTCACACACCTTGATATGGAAATAACAGATCATGCCAAATATGCAACCTAAATTTTATATATTTTTTAATATTATCACGCTCCTGTTTATCCCAAAATTGACCGTGTTAAATAGTTGTCCCTGGTTCCTATAAGGGCGGGGTCTTTTTTAGTTAGGGCACTGCAAACGTTCTGGGCCACGCAATGGTTTTGCCAAAAACCCGACAAGTACAGAATTTATTTTATTAAAAAAGCGTCTGGCCGCCTGTAAAAGACCATTTAAAAAGTATAGGAAACGCGGGAAGCTTAAAAACGGGTAATTGCGAGGGACCCTCACGTAATGCGTCGAACAAGCATGAATAAACAAAAAGAGGTCAAAACGTGATAAGATTCAGTGCATCGCAGAGTTTTGGGGGATTCGCTACGATATCTCTTTGGTGACCTTCATAAAAGGTTTTTTCAAGCCATCATTTCCTTAACTAGACCAGCTTGTGTCCTTTCCCTACCACCCTACGAGTCCACCACTGTACCTTGCATTCCAGGTTGGGTAAAAGCACACCAACCGATCCATGTTTGGTGTCTACCGGAGGCGTCACGTGACTCATTCCAGTAATTTCTGTCATGCCATAACCTGTTGAATTATTCAATCTTTTAAACTCCAATCTCAAAATACATATTCTCCTTACTGAATACAAAACATTTTCGTTACTGTTAGTTCTGCGTTTTTGGTGGCTGATCGAAATAACACTCCCCAGTCAATATCACCTTCGACATCGATCTCTCTTATGTGTCGTGCGATCTTGGGAAGGTGGAGCCAATTTAAGGCTCTGGTAGCTTCGTTCATTCTGCATCGTTTTTACGCACTACACTCTACTACTGGCCGAGAGAAAAGAGATGGACTTGACATGGGGCGGGGCACAACATACCACGAAGCACTGGTTCCGCTGAAAGCAGGTCGTTGACGCCTTATGTCCCACCCGGATTGAAGAGGACTAAGTAATAAAGTAACACTCCACCAATGATCATATACAGAATCGTTCCTATACTTTCTTATTCAGTTTCGTTCATATTCTGCTGTCTTTCAGCAACATTTCATCCGTCTTCCTCCTAAAGAAGCAACTTTAAACGTAATTTTACTTCCTGGGGAATAACAGTGGGAAATAACAGACAGACATGGCCACACATCTCACTGTCTTGCGTAAATATTTTCAACAAGTTTTATCCCAGCCTCAATTTTTAACGACAAAAATATCCAGAATAAACCTCTACTTTCCGCGACTGAGTAATCTTATAGTCACACCGATAATAAGAAATCTGTAAGATGGTTACGCTGGTTAAATGGAGTTGATGTTTCCACATCCGACAAACACGATCGTATTTATCTTTAGATTGAAAACCCTTCTCGTTTGAAAGCTGTCTGTCTACACTTTGCCTCACTTGACATATCAGTGTGTCCTCACCCTTAGCAAAAACTCCGAGCTCGTCACCCAACGTAATTTTTGTAGTGGTGCAAGCTAAGCGCCATCCCCAGCAGGGGCGCATCCAGGATTTTTCTTAGGAGGGGTGCCCCATTAAGGAATGGCGTAGCTGACTGGTGAGGTCGACAAATTTTATAAGCGGATACGAAGAAGAAGGCTTCATCTCAGGGGGGAGGGAGGTGCCCAGGACTAAAGAAATATGAAGTAAACTTTATCTCTCACTTCTTGAGCCTTCAAAATCTTATAAGCCTCGCGCGCCCGGCACTTGACTAACATTACAAGAAATACGCTTAATTTGGATAACAAAGTCCACTGTTAACTTCATTAATTGGATGATTCACTTACACTGACTGATTCTTCTCAGTTGAGGCAGTCGTTTTTTGACATTTCTTGACGTCTCCGGGCCTAACACTGATGCACACGACATCACTTCGACCAGTGACGTCAGATTGAAATTATCGACCGCTGGATTGTTGGACAGCAGATGCACTACTGAGGCCTCTGAGATGAGATGTGTCACCTACAACAGAGATTAAAGGAATATTCAACTTCTCATGATTTCGGGGGATAGGCCAGATGTGCCGGCTTTTTCGTGCAGTACTTCTCATGTCACTGATCAAAAGAAGATCAAGGTAAGCACCTTGATCTTTTCTTGCACGGATACAATAAGGGGCCATTACTTCATTTAGTTCAATTCCTTTCATTTGTTTGTTTGTTTGCTTAACTACTTATTTTCCTCTTTTACTCCACGGCTATACGTGGTGTCGAGAAGAATCGCACACTCGAAGACTCGAAGTCACTGGGTCTTAAGCCAGGTTCATGTTGTTCTTGCATAAAACAACATANGTCCTGCTTACCTTGTAATCTTGTAATAAAGGAAACAATTTGTTTTGATCAAATCTTGGCATCGAAATCAAGGTACTTCCGTGACGTAAAGCAAGAGACAGGACAGCGATCATGCCAAAAGTTCGGTGAAATGGTATAACGGAGAAGATCGTAGATTTTTGTTCAGAAGCTTTTTCCTTGAAGTCCAAAAACCCGTTAGCGCTCACAATGCAACCCAGGGCGACCAAGTTATAGTGTGTTAGCATAACACCCCGGGGCAGGCCACCAGCTCCACTTGAAAACGGTAAAATCGCCAAGTCATCTCTTGGGTGAAATGTTATGAGGGGAAATTCAGACCCGTCGTCCTTGAAAAGGACTGAGACCGAGTCACAATTATCATCGTCCTGGTCGTCCCCAATGACAAACACGTGCTCCATTACCAGTTTCCTCGCGGCTTCTTCTGCCCGATGTGCCAACTGGTGAACAGTAAAAACGCACTTTGCATTGGCTTCTTTCAGCTGATTGGTGAGTTCGTCGCTCGTGAAGAGTGGATTGACACCGGTCACGACACCGCCCATCTGAAGAGCTCCGAGGAAAACAATAGCATACTCAGGAACATTTGGAGCAAATATGGCGATTACATCTCCTTTCTTGATTCCTCTTTTGCTCAGCGCCGAAGCGAGCTTTATGCTTAAATCCTTCACTTGAGAAAATGTATATTTGCGTTTAGTGGAGCTGCAGACCTAAGAAACATCAGAACCTTAGAAGACCTTCCTTATGATCAAGGGAAAGGCGCGGTGGCATAGCTAGTGTCCGAGGCGAGGTCTGGGATTTAGTCACTGTGTCTACTCGTACTCCACAGTTCATTCCAACTTCGTTCCCAGGGACTCTCATTTTCCCTCCCTAGTTCGAGAGATTCATTCAACTAATCTGCCAACCTGGCAAGCCTGCTAAGGGAGATAAGGGCGTTTACAAACGTTTAGGATTGTTCATAGTTGACTTTGTAACTCTTTTTCAAAGCCCTAGACTGTATGCATAAACTGCATGCATAATTGGCAAGGATTATTGTTCCCCTGTGTGAAGGTGATATTGGCACGCGTATTAACTTTTTGGTTTTGTTAAAAACTGTTAGCATGACAGAAATAAAACTCCTTTGATTATAGACAGACCGAGAGACTACAATAACGATCTGTTTGAAGGTGATCCAGCGAGAGGCTAAATCGTGATTTAAATAAAGTTGATCTGGGTGAAAAACCATTGAAAATTTTATTAAAACTGTCGCGTGAACAGACTTGTGGGCGACTTCGTGACAACTTTTCGTCACACTCTGGCGCGCCAAGACCCATCCTGTTTACAGCAAATTTCCGGCCTTATGCAAATCAAGGGAAAAAAAAATATATTAGTTTCGCATTTTGCTTACGTTGGAAACTTCCGCTTACTTGCCAAGAATGCTCAAACAATCTCTTTGATGTTGTTGTTTCTTCTGGCCATGGTTAAATGTTCACCCCTGACTATAGGTTGTAACTGGAAGCCTTGAAACTCAGTTCTAAATTTAGTACAGAGAACTTTGAAACAAACGGAGCGGATATAATTTAACTGATTAACTTTCTACATTTCTATGGTGATAATTCTTTTCTCTCCAGAACAGAATTCACGTACACGATTTCCCTGTTTGCTCGGTAGGTACCGATTTTCTACACAGACAAGTGCATGATACCAAAGTTTACTATAACTCCTCGCTAATGGTGTTCAGGTGCGCCAGCTTAACCTCATTGAAACCTTAGCTCGAAGAAATTACTTCGTGAGTGTCAATAATTATTGATATTTCATGCTTGTAAATTACTCACGATTGCTGTGCGATGTTCATATTCCTTGAAGTCTTGGAATACGAATTCCGGCCAGGAGAGATTTTCTGGGATTAACACCTCCGGCTGTTTGCTTTTTACTGCCATGATTCAGGAACAGAATTCGAGGAGACGGTATATCGCGCCATAAACAAGCGCCTTGCGAAATCATCTGACTGTTTACGGATTTAATTACTGCATCAATAAGCTTACAGCTTGAGGCAAATTACAACAGATATTTACATTCCTTCATTATTTGCATGATAAGTATTAATTATCATTATTAATTATATTGGATAAGGGTTGAGCCAAATATTTTATCAAAATCTATTAAAATTGCTGTATAAACTGAGAGTTTGATAACTTCACTAATTATATCACTAGGAAAACTAGGCTACATTGTAGCTACAAAATAAAACACTCGGTGAAATCGCTTAGATATCTCTCCAGAAATTCGGACAAAAAAACATTCCAAACACCCCGTCTTTTTCTCTAATATCCCGCTGTTTTTATTTAAAACAAATACCATTATTTCGACCCTTTGTTTCTTAAGATACCTCTAAGGAAACACTTTATTGAATTGAGAAAAGCAGTTTTGAAACCAAACTGGTAATATCCCGAACAAATCAGTCGCATTCTTGTTAAATATGTAAAATTTTTTCGACAATCCAGGAGGCTTCTAAATTAAATATCTCAACAAATATCCCAAACTATTTTTACCGAATGCAACAATATACACTTTGTCATGTGACTCTGTCAATCAGGAAATAAATAGCGTTGTTTGAAATTCAAAGCATATCAATGGTTTTAAAAAAAAGATAAGAAAATAAAATTAGAAACATTGCAGATTTTTTTCATGTGCAAGGACAAATCCCAAGGAAACCACGGCATTTTGAGTCATAACCATTTAGCTCCATTTACTTAGTATAAACTATCCAGGCTATCTGTATTCTAAGCCAACTCAACTCAAGCGGTATTAATTTTAGCAGAGAAACCAGAAACTGCAAGGGACCGCATACGAAAAACGCTGCTAACGTAGAATCTACAAGAGATCTCGGCCAAAAAATATAATGACAAACGGTAGACTGCAACGTTGATGCTACATGAAAGACGTTTCGAGACACCAACATGACAAGAACCGATAAAGCAGGATCGCAACAGTGGACAGCTGTTTCGTCCTCCGTGGGACTCGTCAGCACTGTGTAGCGAAGATATGTAATGCCAGCCCAAGAGCCAACGCACATAAATTGCAAAATGACCCGTTCACTGTATCAAGTTCCGTACTTTGAACTCACTTGCGCCCCGAAACACGCGCTGCCACATAATTTTAGCAGGCTGTGCAGTAGAAAACGGCCCTTATATTTGACCAATCACAGCGCGGAAGGAACTGGAAGATATGGTAATAACACAAACTTAAATCTTTCCACCAAAGAGAATATATATTTAATATTTAGTGTGTAAATATCACCTTTTGGGTTTGGAATGTCATTGTACTTTGGCAGGTCCACAGGGCGAGTCAGTGCTGCACACTAAAATGTGTTAATAAGAGATTTATTATCCAGCGCCTCTCTTTCCCAAAAACCAAACTTTTCACTGAGTTGCTGTGGTTAAGTGCGCTCAGGAGAGCTAACACTAATACCATCAACCTGTTAAACCGGTTTCTTGGAGAGCAAATACCATGAAATATTACATTTTCTACTCCCCCCTGGATGGGATGCTAGTCCATCGCAGGGTTACCCCCAGCATTAAATTCGCCGGTACCCATTGATACACCTGGGTAGAGAGAGGCACTGTGAGAGTAAAGTGCCTTGCCCAAGAACACAACGCAATGTCCCAGGCCAGCGCTCGAACCCGGACTGCTCGATTTGGGGGCGAGCGCACTAACCATGAGGTCACCGCGCGGGTCGGGCCTCCGCAAATGTGATTGAACAACTGAATAATGAATGTTCAATGGTGCATTATTCCCCATTTTCAGCCTCTATTCATCCTGTTTTTTTACAAAATCAGTTGCGTTTGGAATGGAAGCAAGCGCTGAGTCCAAGGACGGACGATGGAGAGAGGCACTGTGAGAGTAAACTGTATGTCTTAACCAAGAACACAATGGTCATGGCAAGGGCTAAAACCCAGGCCGTCCATAGTCCAGCGCACCATTCATTAGCGCCCATCACGAAGCCTTACCCTTTTTCGCGCACATGGTTTCACGGGTCCCGGACCGGACCAACACTCGGGGTCTTAAAAGTGCTGCCTTTGTTATTACATCTGCAAAAGGACTACAAATCGTAGGCCCCGTTTCCCGCATCTTCAGTGTTACATGGTTAGCAGGGGGCGTTAAAGAACCCACACACTTATCGCAAAGAGTAGGGCACAGAGTTCCCGGTGTTGTGGTCTGGCCTTGTCTTACGAGTTGGTGCTTCACATAGGGTTAACTTCATTGCACCCTTTCCCCTTGGACAGAATTGTCCAAGAAAAAATTGCTATGCTATGTTCATCTCGAAGCAGTCCCACAAAGGTTGGGGTCGCAGATGCATTCATAACCCGAAAGGTATCAGTGAAGTTCGCAAATACTTACATCTGTAATTTTATTTTTTTTTAAGCACTTCCAGTTACATCAGGAATAATAATTTACGGAGAAACTTGAGAATGTTTCCAATGAATCATTCGGTTTGATAGTCGTATATACAATTCTCTCTTATAAAATATAAACACTCTATTGAAACTTAATTATTACAAAGCAGACCCTGGAAAGTTTCTCAATACACGGGTTGTTAAAAATAATCTTGCAATGCTTCTCGCTCTATAAAAAAGAAAGATCATTTAAACCAAAGTTGCTCGTGTAAAGAATAATCCGAGCATAGTAACATTACACTTGAATTTAGAGGGAAAAAAAGTAATCTTCTAATTACGATTTTCGCACAAGGCTGCAAGAAATGTTGCAAAAAAAAACTTATTTCACTTCTGACAAGCAGAGAAAATTAGTGCATTTCTCTAAATTCTACTCCTAGATGAGGGCTGTGACAGAATAAGTTCTGCAAACGTCACAGCATCACTGACGGTATATTTTGGACTATGTAACCTTAAATTACCTTCTACAATCGTAGGCGTTGCACAATTATAATACGTCGATACGCGAACTAAGTCCCAAAGCGTTGACAATACTAAACGCAATAAATTTCGGTTAATTTTTCTGGCGCCAAGGATAGATTGTTTAATGTGCCCTGTCTTCAAAAAACAACTGCCACAATTAAGAACACAAAAGTACCTTAAGAAAAACACATGAAAAATTACTTAACACCGCAACAAGAGGCGACCTAAAGTTTTTAGTTTTGCAAATCGTTATCGCTTCTTTTTCCGCCAACGACACGTCAAGTGTCTTGGTTGGAAAAAGCTAACAACTGCACAAAACACGGCGCGAAGATTAAGCATGAATATGATATTTATCCTTTTGTCCACTTCATAACATTATTTTCTTATAAGTCAGTAATAACAAATCATAATTTCTCCCAAGAGTAGTGGCATTGCTTTAGAATGAGTTCCAACATCACGATATTATCTAGAGATATATATATACCTTAAATTTTTCCTTAAAATTTTCCAGATTTCAATGACAAAATTAGAGCGCAATAAAATAGATTCCGGCAAGTCATTTTAGTCGCTGTCTGCGGCGGCAGCGGCATTTTGGCCAGCCAGTTTGTTTCGCCATCTTATTGAGAGCCTCTTCTTGTCCTGTCGAGGGTTTGTCCCGTCAGTGGCCGAGTGTGAACCCGCCATGTTGTCAAGACCGTCCGGAAGAGAAGACGTCAGTGGCGACATGTCCTCCTCCAAGACTGCAGCGAAAAAAAAAAAAAAAAAAAAAAAAAAAAACAGAACAGTAGAATGTCAGTATAGAAATACTCCTTACTGGTTTAAGCTAAATTCTGAGATTTGTTCAACAAGATATTCATTTCTTCGTTTTCTATTTCCAAGAGATTGAACGAATTTAACGACTAACGGCTTAACGACTGAGCGGATTGTAAAGTATAATATATAACCCTCAATTTAAAAGAATAATCAACTTCTCCTTACAAGATAATTTTTAAGCTAACAAGTGATGAGAATAAAGAACTTTAGTTTACTTTTATATAATTTTAATTTTATTATGCACGACCCCACAAGCTTCCCAGCTTTAAATTATAATCGTGCTTAAATAAAGGCTATCTGTCTGTCTGTCTGACTGCTTGTCGTTCTGTCTGGGAGTAATTGTCGCGTAGTGTTCAACTAGGACCAACCATTTCAGCTTAGTTTTATTGAATTTGTGTGCGTGCGTCAACAGTTTCAGTTCACACGTTTGAGAACGAAAACCGTTTCCGCATGATCTAAAATTTTTGAATTTTGAGGAAATACCTCGTTCTGGGAAAAATACTCACCTAATTTATTGCTTAAGATTCTTGGAGATGTCACGGCACTTTTGGATCGATGACGAGCGGATGTCTTCTCACTGTCAGATAAACTAGCTGTAGCGGCCGTCTGCGCGCGCAAGATTTCATGGCGTTCGCCGCCTGACAACACCGGCGTGGGCGGCTCACTTCCCGGGGGTTTCGGTACGGGACAGAAGACCAGCGAGGCGAAGTCCTCGTAAGTTGTGGGTTCTTTATGATTCTTGACGATTCGTTCAATGCAAGCCGCTCTTTCTTCATAGCTAGCAGATTATGAAGGAATCATACAACATAACGGTGCGATGGAAAGTTACTGAAAGCGAGAGAGGTCTTGCTCGCTAGCTGTTTGTAAAAATTTTAAACCAATCTGACTAAAAAGTACTGTCATTCTAGCAAAAAGAAGAAATCGGAGGACTAAACTAATGAACACAAGTTTCAATACTTTACAAATAAAAATAACATATTTCTGTCACAGGACAGCCATCAATAATGTTCTATATGTTAGAACAGAACGTGAGAAATTGCAGGAAAACATTGGGATAATATAAATGGATTGCAATTTAAAACACTTTGTATAAAAATCTGAGGATCATGCCATTACAAAGTCCCAGAGGTTGAATTTAAGCTACAAAACAGCGGCAAGGAGTCGAAGTTATGACAAGTTAAACATTTCTTTTAAAACCCTTTACGAAGACAAAACAGTTTCATTTCACGCTCACTAAGGATACTATCTCTCATACACAGGAAGAAGTTCTCGACTTGCTCGGCTAGCGTTGATAGCTGTCGCCCTAACCAGGGCTGGTAAGACTTTTCTGTCAACTAGAGCTCCATCAAACAACGGTCCAAACATTGGCACCTGACAAAAACAGTACAGAACAAACGTTACTTTGCAGTCGTGTTTTATTTGAACGAAAGCTTATTATAAACTCCTGGCTCCTCCGTTGCTCGCAGCGAAGAAACGCTGCACGTTAAAGACGATAAATAAACATTTTTCCGTCGCCTAGAGGCTTCAGATACCAGCTACTTAAGGATGGGCATCAAAGCTTGCCTTAAAGTACCTTTTTCGGACTTCCGCAAAAACTACTGTTACTTATTTACACTACTTGTGTAATCATAGATCGCAACAGTTACCGCACACTATTAGGGATGTATCAAATCTACATCACTGTTACATCAGAACCTATATCAACTCTTATATTCTATTTTATTGAATCTGACGGCTTTCAAGTAATATTTCAAACACGAAAGACCGTGTTCGACCACATTTCCAAACACCGAGAAGAGAGACGGACTTCGAGGTGTATAGAAATGCGGTCAAGCACTGTCTTGAGTGTTTGATATATCTTCTCAATCGAAACTAAAACTAAGGAGAAAACGGAGAAATAAAATCTTAAAAATCTATACAAATTAAGATCAGATATCCAAACACCGTCACGGTCATGATTTTCTTTGTTTAATCTTGATGAATTATTAATGAGTTTGAGAAGTCTCCATTGCAATTACATCAAAACTTATGACAACGTTTTACTGAATCTGGTGGCTTTGAAAGATCTTGCAACCTTGTTTAATTACAGCTCCAAATATCATTTGCTTCCTTACCTTGGGCTTCTTGATGATTTGTATTCTAAACAATTGATTCTTCAAAGGATAAATGATGATCATGACATGAGCAAAGTCAGTGTTGACGATACCATGTCTGTAATCCCGATAGTGTTCGGACCACACAATGTGAACCTCGTCATTACCAATATGACGAACCTACAACAAGACAGAATGCACCCATGTCTTAGTTTATTTTTCTGGCACGTTCAAGCATTGCCTGTTTGCGCATCTTGAAAAGTTAAGCCTCAATGTTCAAGTTCGTCGTTTGTAATCCGTGTTAATCTTCTCCATCCTTAACCATCTTTGTTCCTTTATGGTTTATTATTATCTCTTTGGTGTTTTTCTATCCTAGTGCACTACTATTTTCAGGTTTTCCTTCAATTTAAAGGTAATTTTGAACGTGGCCAAAATACCGTGACTGAGCTCTTCTAACATGAAACAGTGGTCCATAACAAGGAGGGAAAACCTTCTACACTTGATGCAACGAGATATGCTCGTGTTGAGCTGTAGTCAGAATAGATTTGATGGACGTTTTTCATGCCTTCTGCTTTAAGCAGCCAATAAAAACTATAAGTAGAGAGGTAGACATTATCAGCTGACCTTTCTGTTGAATTCCGTGTTATCAGAAGGCAAAGGCATCCTGGTAGACACATGAAACATCACTTCAGCAGTAGATGTACAGTAGTACGGCGCCGTGGTACCAGTTGATAGATTCCTCTCCAGTCCACCCAGAAATCCAGTGTGTTTGGACAAGTCCACCTGGTAGGTGTAAAAAACACGCGTTTTGATTGGCTATAGTGAAAACTACTTGTTCTAACGTGCACAGTGATTGGCCAAACAAACCCTTTACAGCATTTTCTTACCTCCCACGCCAGACCTGCGACAAAGCGTTCATATTCCTCACTGCCCACACAGTTGGACATGATTGAAGTCTTGTCTTCTTGACCCTGGGCAACGTACACCAAAGCTATTTTGTGCGTCTCGCGACTGGAGGAAATGAAAAACCATACTTAATACAGTGACACTGAACAATTGCTTTCCCGCGCTTTCGACCAACTACCCATTTCTCGCAATTAAAACCAGCTTCATTTTTCCCGCGCTGTTCATTAGTTACAAGTATTCCCTGCGCTTCCCACCGCTTTCATGTTTTCTCGCGCCTTCCACCGGTTACAAATTTTCCCGCGTTTTCGACCGGTTGCAAATTTTCCCACGTTTACGGACGGTCACACGTTTTCCCGCGCTTTCTATTTAACATGCTTTTGCTTTGAATTGTGATTGGCTAATATGGCTGCTTGCAAGACCAGTCTGAATATTAAGCTTAGTGATTTTTTCAGGTGTAACTCTAATTCTGATAACAGTGTAATAATATTGACATACCACCGTCTGTTGTCCAGGTTCTTCAACTCTCGCAAGAAACGGTCAGTCTTCTTCAAAAGATCAATTTTGGTTCTGTGAACAAAAGAAAATCGTGAATGCATCTTCTAAGCAGTGCTCAAATCCACAGTCCAAAAGCAGTCGCAGCCGCTATAACAAAACAATTTAACATCCATAAAATGAAAACAATACCATTCAGGTTTTTTTTTTTTCTTGGCCCATTTCATCCCAACACGACCTGGAAATTTTAGTCGGCATACACGCCAAGTGGCCCATCAGGCCGGCGCTTATACCGACTTCTGTAGCAAGAAGCGACTAAGAGTATTTCTACTCCCACCTGGATGGGATGCTAGTCCATTACAGGGTTACCCCCTCATTAAAATTTGCCGGTACTCATTTATACACCTGGGTGGAGAGAGACACTGTGAGAGTAAAGTGTCTTGCCCAGGAACACAACACAATGTCCCCGGCCAGGACTCGAATCCGGATGGATCGATCCGGAGACGAGCGCACTAACCATGAGGCCACCGAGCCTTCACAGAAACAGACCATGGTGGACGAAAATTATCGGAAGTGGTTGGGAAATTATCACCATCAACTACTGGTTAAACGTCGCCAAAGTTTCTCTCACCTTTTCTCCCAGGTCATCATTCCGGTTTGACTGACTACAAACCGGCACAACTGGAATGGCGACTGAGGCACTTCATAAGGGGGAGGACTGGATGCCAGCGACGACAGGCTGGAGAAGAAGTCGAGTGACAATACAGTTGCGTGACATAATAAAAACTCAAATACTCTCTCACTGTGTTCACTTTACTGAAAAAGTGTCACGTAAGTGCGACCCCCTGATTATCAGGTTACTTAAATTACCCGCCCCTTTATTTCCTAGTTACATTGGATGTTTCCCGCGCTTTACACTTACTGCAGCTTTCGCAGTTGACACAAGTAACAGGCTTTCCCGCGCTTGGTGCAAGTGACATGTTTTCCCGCGCTTTCCTCCGAACGCCTACATACTTTCCCGCGGTTTTTGTACACTAGCTTCCACGGTTTCACTTCAAAGGTTAATTGTTTAGTGATGTCACTGGTAGACTACTTTGCCTCTAAACGACAGAAACAGAAAACCAAACTTGAGTAGTTTCAATGAAACTTTGAATCAAACCTGGGATCCGTTATGTCGTTTTCCACTCGTTTCCTCTCGCTGGTGTTCTGCTCAAGGACAGAGTCTATGACGTCAAACTCCATGTCACTTAACAAACTCTCAGGGGAGGGGCCAGGCTCATTCAGAGAGTGGTCTGGGTACAATAGACATTCTTGGCTGGACGCTCCAATGCTACAAAGGAGCTGCGAGAACAAAAAAACATTCAAATGAGTGCAGCAAACACATGGGGCGGAAAAAGAGAGAATCACTGCTGATTATTTGGAAAGACATGATTGTTTATGTGAAGCTTGATGAAAATATAATACTCGGAAAAATGTTTCTGGGTTCACTCAGTAAAAGTAGAATCTCCGTGACCTTGTGTACAGCGACCCTTTCCTGCAAACCATATTATGATATAACTAGCTTAAACGTGAACCTAGGTTCGACTTCCGGTGCAAGAACTCGGAATTAAAGGGTTTTTTTTTTAATTTTTTCGCGCAGCTTGTACCACTGACCGTTTAATATGAACTATTTTTGTGTTTCCCCAGCCCCACCCCCTTGCCTTTTGGCTCGTTCATATCCCACGCGCCGGGTTAATATTTTGCTAAGCTTGCGACCACGACGAACTCGAGACAAAATAGAGAGTCCGTGAACAAACTATGAAAGGGCTTTCTCACCATACAATAACGGACTTTTTGCAGCATATAAAATAAGCTCCAAAAACAAGAAAGAAACCTAAAACCCTCAAATGAAAGGAAACTTACAACAAAAGTAGAAAAACACGAGAAATCTCAATTACATTTTTTTTTAAATTTACTCCCAAACAGGAGCATAATTTACAAACAAAAAGCAGCGTAGTCGATATTTTACAAGCACCATAATGTGAAACTCACATCATCAAGTCTATCTTCAGCGACTGGTGTTGAAGTCTTCTTGAATTTAACGAGCGGGTGTGATGATGCATTTTGAAATCCTGTATGGCTTCGATGTTCTTGATTAAGAATGCCATCAATTAAGTCGGCCGTCGTTCCTTTGGATAAAATTATCAGGTAAGTCAGTTCTACATAAGAAGCAGTCATACTCTGTTATATACACACGGCAAAGTTTTCGTTATCAAATATTTTGTTCTCGAAAATATTAGCTTGTCAAGCTACTCTGAAATTCGAGCTTAAATAAAGTTTATGTATGTACGTATGTATGGAAGAATAAACAAACGAACGAGACACGAGGGGAAGGTGGGAGCGAACGAGTGGACGAAAAAACGAGTAAACGAATAAACAAGCGAACAAACGAGCGAGCGAACAAAAGGAACGAAATAACGAACAAACAAACGAACGAACGAACGAACGAACAAACAAACAAACGGAAGAACGAACAAACGAACGAACGAACGAACGAACGAACAAACAAAGGGACGAACGAACGAAGAAACGAAGAAACGAAGTAACGAAGTAGCGAAGAAGCGAAGCGAAGAAACGAAGAAACGAAGAAACGAAGAAACAAACGAACGAACGAACGAACGATCGATAGATCATGGATAAAGTATTGAACAACGCAGTGACCTACCACTATGCTGGTAATTTTCCGTTTCCGTTGAGCAAGACCCATGTAATAAAGTGTAGTCCCAGACGTTTTTTCCCGTCATGTCACGTGTGATCACGCGACATTGAGTGGCTGCGGTACTCGCAGGAACTTGGTTCACCACTGAGTCAGGCGAGTCCTAGAAAACACCACACACATTACAACACATCCCGCAGTTTTCCAGAGTCAGAGAAATGTGTTGGGATTCTAACTGGTTTTCACATGCACGTGAAAATTCCTTACTGAGCCACAACCAGTTATTTTCAAAACCCGTGTGAAACGGAACCTTACCTCCAGTGACAATTCAACCAATGATATCAATACGCTGTCGTTTAACACGAAAAACTGAAACAAACGATACAAAAAAAACGTTATATTCACACTAGACGAGATGTAAATTTAATGTATCACCGTCAAAATACCCACCTATATTTAAGAAGGTCAAAGAAGACGTGGTCTTTTTGAGACAAAAGAAGACATATTTACGTGTAAACGTTATTGAATAATGACCGGAAAATGCAGAACTCATAATATAAGTAAAATAAATGATATAGGAAAAAAAGTCAAGATTAAGGACAAAGCTTCTCTCGTTATTAGCTGTCATTGAGATTCGTCGAAAATTATTTCAAAGCTTTGGGAGTAAAGATTGACCCCTAGAGATAAGAATTAAGCTTTACCAGACTAGGATGACAGCCTCAATGTTCAGCCTTACAGAAACAACAACAGTGAAGCCACGGTAAACACGAAAAAACGTAGGACTCAAACATATTTAACTGTATGGAAAGAAAATCTACTGCGACACCTTACAAACGAACCTGTATATTAGGAGCATTGAAGATACAAGACGACAGCTCGTCAGCTTCTACATCCGGGTTATCTTCATGTTCACTAATTAAACTGTCTACTCTGGACGGACCAGCTCCCAGTGGATAGTGGCCCATGTGGTTCACCATATGCATCAAAACCTAAACAAACAAGAACAGGAACAAATATGCCCCTAAGCGACGAACAAGTATGGTCACTGGAACCCTGCCTTACGGTCACCCAGTTTATACGGTCACCTCGTTATTACGGCCACTTTATTCTGGCCCAAACAAAAACTCAGTCAGTCATTTTCCAGTCTTCTAACACGGCTAAATTGTCGTGACCCGTTGATGACCGGATTAACGGGGTACCACTGTAGTAATAACGCAGATAGACAGCAATAACGTTAAAATGTAGTCTTGTCGTAGTTTCCTTATGGTGTTCCTCTACAGCACGTTAGAGCCTTCTTTGGTCATGCGCACAGAATCCAGTGATTGCATCTTAATGCCTTAGGGTTTTGTCGTCCTAGTAATTGAGCTTCTTACTGGAGGCAGACGCGAAATAAATTTCCACAGGTGTTCAAATAAACTAATCCTCGTTTGATCAACGTAAATTAACCGCCGTGGCCAATTTGGAAAGCTGATGTTTCGATAACGAGCCCGGAGCACAAATAGACACGGCTTCTGATTAGCTAATTGTTGATTTGGTTACGGTAAACACCACTTACTGCTCGTGCTGTTAACTCCACAGAATCCGACCTGGGTGGAAAGTCAAATGTGTCTTGTCCGCCTGGATCTAAGAATGAGAATAACAACAGAGTTACTTAATTTGAAGTTCTGTTCATTTTAAATGCATTGCCTCTAAAAATACCACCCGATGACCTCTTCACATTTCTTACAGTTAATGTACCACTCCCGGTAATGTATTCCCCTCCGATGTAAAATTAGTTCATTTGAAGACAATTTGAAGTCAGGGCCAATTTGTAAAATGGGGCACAATGCAAGAAAGATTTAAGGTTCAAACTGAAAGATTCAACTTGGCTTGCAGAATACGTCTCGTGACAAACAGAGGCAACAAAACGCGTGACAAACGATTCAAAAGAAACGTTAAGCAAGGTAAGGGAGTAGGGTTAGGGGTAATTCTGTTGTAAAGAGACAACCACCTTGACGTCATTATCGTGGTGTAATGGCCGTGGTGTAAATTCAACACACCACTGTCATTACACCATGGATTCGGCTGACTCAAATATAGTGGTTTCAGTGCAGTGTTTCTTTGCGCAGTGTATTCAATTTGAATAATAAAAATGTTAACGCACTTATTGCTCGTGAATTACTGGGATTTATCTTTACTCGTTCACTAACAATAATCTCGAAATTTTCAATACCGCACTCGGCAAAGCCTCGTGCGGTATTGAAATTTCTCGTTCAGTGAACTCGTGCAGGTAAATCCCGATAATTCACCCGCTGAGTGCGTTAACCTGTAAATATCCAACGCGCGCTCGTGGAATAATCGCTTATTACCTACCAGCTATACTACCATCTTCTCCACTGTCTGGCTGAGTCTCAACAGGGCTGCCGGGTACAGTGCTTGACATTCTGTCGCCTTCCTGCAGCCGTCCTAATCTGATGGGCCGACCGTCACCACTGATAATGGTAGATATGTTCAGCTGTTTGGTTCTTTTCTTGGGTCCCTTGTTTGATGCAGCCATCTTCAACACCTGACCAGGCAAAACAGATTACAAAAACAACAGTGAATTAGTGACTGGACAATCTAAGGCACACTCATCTCTCTTTGCTCGTTTAGTTCTTTCCTCGCTCCAGCGTTTTCTGACTCTTCTCGACTAAACTGATGACGAAGTTGTAAAGAGATCCCTGTACAGCCTCTGATTGGCTGCAGATCGGTTTTGAATTTTCGCGCGTAATTAGTAACCAGTCAGAGACGGTACATGGATCTACGTCATGGTGAGAATTTTTCGGGCCCAGTCCTGAGCGGGTAAGAATAGCGCACTTCTCTCAGTCTCTCAATGGATGGATCTTTACCTGGAACACTCTTGCGAGTATGCTGACATTCTCGTCTTCGTTTGTCTTTGACAATAACTTCGAAACAGGTATTACCATCAGCCAATCTAGCAGGCACATGAGGACAGAGGCTAAAACCTGAAAAAAAGAAAAACCAAAGCATAGAGAAATGAGGTTTAACAATTCAAAGTACAAATACTCTTACTGGAAAGAACAAAAGTGTTACATCAGTTCCAAAAACTGGATGATATTAGGGAAAACGACTTTTACAATCGACAGCTTGGCTTAGCAGAATGTGATAGAGTGTTTCTTGCAATTAACACACTGGGAAAGAAGATCGCATTGTACAATAAAGACGGATTACTATTTGACTACAACACATCTGTTCTTACTTTATTTTGTTCTTGGATGTGAGCTGATTCTCCTCCTGGTAACAGATTTACAACGGCGTGACAAAGAACCTGTCAAGTACAGAAACACCAAGCAAACTTCATTCAATATAACAGCTACATGCTTAAACTACATCAGTATTTACTCAGCCAACGATATGGACGACATTAACAAAGCTGATCACAGCGAGATACCTATTCTAGGGAACTTAAAGTCTGTGACTGATACAAAAGTAACTGAAAAGAGTGACTATGTTAAAAGAGCTACGTCACGGTTTGCATATATTGAAAAGTTTAGATTAAATGTATCAGGTTCGTCGTTTGCAATCCGTGTTAATCTTCTCCATCCTTAACCATCCTTGTTCCTTTATGGTTTATTATTACCTCTTTGGTGTTTTTCTATCTCAGTAAAATACCATTTTCATGTTTCGCGTTGTTTAAAGATAACTGATTTCGTACGTGGCCAAAATAACTCAAAATGCCGTGACTGAGCACTTTAGCTGAAAAACCGGTAAAAAGCAACACTTTTTAAAATAACAGCAAGAACAAAGGAAACTAACAGAGAACAGAACAAAGCGAACAAACCTCGACAATCTTGAGAGGAAGGTCTTTGTCAAACACGCAGAGTTCCTTGTAATACTCAGATAGAAGATGAATGACGTCACAGGCCACGTGACAAACGGATCTGTTATGAAACTACAAAGCCAAGAAACTTTCAGTTAATTTAGCTTTCTCAACTAGAATCAAGTCGCTACAGTTTTCTGCTCGAAAACCACATATTAGTACAGCCAAAATACGGTTAGGAGAATCAACTACAGTTCATTTGGAGAAACTTGCCAGTGATAATTGTTACAAGCTCATGCACAAAACAACATAAAATCGTCACTTCCCACACCATGTAAGTCACACGGGCTGTCACATTACTGTCGCATGCACATCGATACTTACAGTGATGGAGGCCAAAAGAACACAAATGCAGTCATGTACTTTGGGATGTCCTTGACAGTGAATGAGCTCTTCAACTATGAACACACCCAGAGCGTTCAGGGCTGTACACCTGAAAAAAAGAAAAAACATTTAAAAAGTCACTGTGAGTCCAGTGGTTGAGAACAAGGTTATCCTAGAGCTGAAGTTGTTACAAACCTTGCAGAACACGACGGGTCTAATTTTGAGGCACGTAACAAGGAACCAACAAGTTTATCCTAACGGGAGCAAAGAGAATTCGTATCAGTTTTTTTTTTTAATAAACAACTAATGCTCTACACAGATGATAAACCGCAATTACATTAAACAATGGCGAAAGAACTACACAGGAAAAGCTACATTCAGATTTCACTTCGAATCCATTTGTAAATGCGCTATGCTGTCAGTTGCATTCTGCATTGTCAATAACCAATAAATGGAGTCAGGACCGTACGATTTCACAGAATCTACAGTATGTACACAACTATGAATGAAGCTGACGAGGAAAACGAGGACGCAAAAGAACTACGTGTACTGTCAGTCTTATGGAATTCGGGAATTTTAACGTATTCAAAGACAGGGTTTTCAACCAATTTGGACTTGGGTAACAAAGTTTACTGTACAAATAGATCTCTTTTTGATTAGCAGACGACATAAATTACGGCATATTTTCTTACTTGACTTGAACTTTTGTGAAGAATCACGCTGTGTATGAACTTGCATATAGTAATACACTCTATCTCGCAACATTTGTGTTACAGTAAGCATTGCACAGAGTCTCTGGTGTTCTTCTCTTCGCAGTGATTTCGACAATGCTAGAACAGCTTTTTGGCATTGCATGGTAACACTAAGCGACGTTTACGAAACTTGAATTACAACGTTTACTGCCTTTAAATTGCGAGGCAAGTCACACAGGCCGTTGCCTTATGCCACAAATGTACCTAAGAGCTGCTACGTACAAACCTTGATGTCTTTACCCGTGCTCTTGTGTTGATACTCATTGGTTTGATGTCCAGGCTGGTGAAGAGGCATGTTAGGAACATTGTTTGGAAAACACAACAGTGATCCAATCAAGGTGACTGCCTCTTCTCTTGGAAGCTGTGAAGGTAAAAGCCAGAGCTTTATATCATATTGTCAGTATTACTATATCCATGCTTCTTGGATGAAAAGGTGCACCACTAGGGTAGCGTCCACAGTAAGCCGGAGAAGTTTGAAAATGCAGCTTTATTTCTACGATTTGGCCTTCCGTCCACACTAATCCGTCAGGAAAACGGAGCTTTTCGAAAACGCTCAACTTCAAAGCGGAGGAATTTGAAAACGCCGACTTATCGTTTTCGTGTTGACGGAAGACATTTTGAAAACGGAACTTTTCGAAAACGATGGCATCGCGATAATTGTGTTATTTCCCAGACCGAGTTTTCCTCAAACACAAATCCAAAATGACCGGTGATTGTTGCGTATTTAAATTCCTCCGGCGTAGTGTGGACGGAAAACATTTGATGCGTTTTCAGAGTGAAACCTCCGTTTTTAAATTCCTCCGGCGTAGTGTGGACGGAAAACATTTGATGCGTTTTCAGAGTGAAACCTCCGTTTTTAAATTCCTCCGGCGTAGTGTGGACGGAAAACATTTGACGCGTTTTCAGAGTGAAACCTCCGTTTTTAAATTCCTCCGGCGTAGTGTGGACGTAAAACATTTGATGCGTTTTCAGAGTGAAACCTCCGTTTT